TGTCTTTATCCTGTCTTCCTTCTCTCACCCCAACCAATCACAGCAGATGGCCCCACCCCTCCCTGAGCCTGGTTCTGTCAGAGGTTTCTTCCTGTTAAAAGGGAGTTTTTCCTTCCCACTGTTGCCAAAGTGCGACAGTGGGAAGGTCATATGATTGCTGGGTTTTTCTCTGTATCTATTAATGTACGATCTACTGTACAATATAAAGCACCTTGAGGTGACTGTTGTTGTGATTTGGTGCTGTATAAATAAATTGAATTGAACTTAAACTCCCCCGAGGTAAAAAATTCTGATCATTTCAGTTCCTTCTGCAGATTATTCCAGGAAGCAGGGGCAGCGTATTGAAGTCTTTTTCCTCAGTTCTGTCCTAATTTTTGGGACAATCAATTGTATGATATTGTGAGAACGAAGGTTGTATTGGTTGCGTTTTTTACACATATAAACACATAAATAAGAGGGAACCAGCCCAGGCAGAGATTATAGATAAAGATCAACCGATGGGAAAGTCTGCGAATATGAAAAAAAGAAACACATTTAGCAGAAGCATACAAAGGACAATGATGTACACGATTTCCATAGCCAGTAATAAAACATAAAGTGTTTTCTCACTTGGAGGGAGAAACAGGATTGATTTCCAAAAAAACCCCCCAAAAACTATTTATACTCAGAGGAGGCTGAACATCATCAGTACAGGAGCAGATAATAAACACATCATGAAGACATCTTGGGCTTGTATAAAGCATATCAGCAAACATGCATTCATAGTCTCCATCCAAACCCTGACATCCTCCATCGTGCCGGGTCATCTCCATGGAGATGGCTGATTTCTTTGCTGTCTTCCTTCTGCATCAGATGGACAGCAGCACACCAGCAGAGATGCAATATGGACAAAAGACCACTAGATGGCAGGAGAGTCTCAGTACAGACAAAAAGTGAGGAGGAGGAGGAAGGGAGGAAGAAAAGGGGGACGAGGGGAGGAAGAAGGGGTGACAGCAGGCTCTGCAGGAGAGATGATGAAGGTGGGTCTGTCAGCGATCAGTTTAGTTAGGTCACGTCTTTAAACAGGAAGTGATGTCAGTGTCCTCACCTCTGACCCTCAGAAAGCTTTTAAGAGATTCTTTATCTACACCGACAGAACACGAGTAGACGCCTTCATCAGACTTCTGCACGTTAGTGATGATGAGCTCTGACTTGTGTTCAGCTCCAACATGACTCCCATTAATGAAGAAATAAGCTTCAACCTTTGAACCCCTGTGGTTTCTGCAGCGCAGCGTGACATTACTTCCTGCCCTCACAGGAAGTGCAGGGATCTCCAGGATCACACTTCTATCTGACCAACAGAGACACAAAAGGGTGATACAGAGACAAAGATCCACCAGCAGAGCAGAGTCGCACAAAGACAGCTCACTTCCTGTACCTGAAATGCTGATGGAGACTTCATCGCTCTGCTGTCCAGACGAGTTTTCACAGAAGTAAAGAGGATCAGAGGAGAAGAATGAATCCAGAATACAGAAAGAGTAATATCCCACACCATATCCATGCAAGCTTAGACTGTCAGCACAGTCATAACTGTAGTCATCTGTTGTTATCATCACCTTCCACCCATCAGCTGTCTCTCCTTCATCATCAACACAACTCAGAGACACAGAAGAAGCGTAATTTTTGAAGATCTGCTGGAGGTTTGGACTGACCTGCAGAGAGACTGAGCACAGACACACAGTAAATGTATTTGTGATGTTTTGGAGTCTCTGATTGTTTTCACTTCATCAACTCACCTGCAGAAACAGCCAGTGCAGACAGCAGCAGCACACACACACCTGCAAC